CAATCCCATCATTAAATATTATAATTGATTTTTTTAATATTTTTGGCACCATTAAATCTTTGACATGGAATTGAGACCTTGGGTAATGTGAGAGAGGTAGAGTGAATCTTTTACCATTGGAGTGATGTGGGAGAGGTGGAGGGCTCGTGGGTTTTTTTTCTTTCTTTTTATTTTTTATTTTTAATGTTGTATTATTTTTTTGAACACCAAACCATATTATATACTAAAAATCTTATGTTACAAAATTACATATACATATATATTATTCTTTTTAAAAAATAACATATCTCAATATTTAGTTATATATTTATGTTAAATTTACTAAATCCGTCTAGTCTGCCTAGGCATCCGCCTAACCGCCTAGACGCTAAGCTCCAGTCAGTCGTCTGACTAGCGCCTAGCGTTTTTTAGAACCATAGTAGACGTACGTTTCTACTTCATGACCCTTTGAGATTGCCATCTTCAGGGCCTCAATTCCGGCTTCTTCCTTATTATCTTGGAAGAAGTATGTCATCCCTAACATGTACAAGGCATCTGAATTGTTGTAGTTTGTGCAACGTTTCAAGAACTTGGAGACATCTTCATTATTGCTCTATGAACTAAGCAGTTGAAGCCTTCAAATTCCCTAATGTTGATGTGCTCGAATGGCGATCGCCTTTGTCGATTTGATTGAACTTCTTACACACCATCTTTGATGAAAACAGGTCCTTAAAAGATCAGGAAGCAACCTTCGTCAATTTTTGGACAAGAAATTCATCCGGAAGAGATTGTATGGGTGAAGAGGTGGTTCTGGCTTTCTTCATCTTTTTGAACTTGTGGTTTTGAATAAAACACAAACCCTTAAGAAGACAACTTAAATAGATGGTTTATATCTTAGACAAAAAGGGGAAGAGATGTGACAGAGAGTGAGAACAATTATACGTTGGAATCGAATGGTTCTAATAAGAAAGGGATTTGGTGAATATATAAAGATGAAATACCTTTTGAATACAACTGTTTAGTTACAACTTTTCTCGTTGAATACAATAGTTCAGTTATATCCAACAGTCATATCCTTTAGAATTAATTAATTAATTAATTAAACAGTTATATTATTTCTTTATTAATTAATTAATCTATTTCACTACAATCATATGTATATTAGTGCGCCAATGTTATGGTGTACTTTCACACATGATTACATATATTTTGAAAATCATGTTATCATAATTATATTCCAACACAAATACATGAATTATAAGGTCACTAATTCTAGAATAATGGCCAATTGTTAGTTATATATACAAACCCATGTACAAATACATGATATGTACACACTATATGCACATGGTATGTAAAAAACTCCTTGGCCAGGGAGCTATTTATGGGATTTCTAAGACGCATTAGCATGGTAAATTTTAATCAAACATGAGAGATGGAGTTTTAAAATATATATGAAAAACTAGTATTGAGTTGATTATATCATAAGAACAAAACTTGTTTACAAGTTTTAATAAAAAAAAAATTACCGCATTAAATTCGAATAAAAATAAGGTCATGACTCAAACTATATTACTATGACATTTTATTTTAACGTAATTAGATCTTCCTCTAAATTGTATAGAACCAAAAAGTAATGGAATTTTATATGGTAAAACATAAGGCTAGGTTTAGAAAAAAAACAAAAAAAAAGATGCAAAAACCATCAAGTTTCAAACTCATGTCTTGTTGAAACTATCAAACTATACTCATCAACTAACCTGATGCTGAATATTGTTTAAACTTGCACACAATTGATATGTAGTACAAAAATTCTAGGATAGGTCTAGACCAACCTTGGCATCCATGTGGCTCCGCCACTGATCAATTTCTCTAACCTATATTCTATGTTGGAAATGAAGTACCAGAAGTTAATAAGCTATATGTTGAAAATGAAGTAGGGGGTGTGAGATTTGACAACACACTAACCTATATGTTGGAAATGAAGTAGCATGGACAAAAAAGGAGTGTTGGGGATTCCTACAACTTTTGTAGGTTAGATTCATCAAATCCTCACCACACAAACACCTTCAACACAATCCATTTTTTACCCAACAGGTTTTCATCCACATCAATGCTACACTTGTATAAATAGGCTTCTCACACTTATATATGCCATAACCATTAACCCCATAGCAAAAAAGCCATTCCATTTCTCAAATAGCCAAAACAATTCACAACACCAACATGTCCAACTTTAGACATAAAATTGAGGGTCTTAAAGCCGAGTTCCACGAGTGGTACAACATGGAACCTCCTCCACTTCCGAGATCACCCAAGGCAAATCCTATGTCATCGTTTAGCTTTGTCAACTCGAAAACGCCGCTAAAAAATATAGATCAGGTCCGTGGGAGACTCGATTATCAAATGGACGTGGACGAGTATTTGAACCACAAGCTAATGAAGGCAAAAAAAAAACATGTGGACCTTATTGGTAAAGCTAACAAAACGCTCTACCGTGCAAGCAAGCAGAAAACAAAGGCTAACATGTCTGGAGAAAGGATCCTATTCCTAAACTGAATTGTCGTAGAAGCGTCGCGGCCATATTGAGTCATATAAATGATCTCAGGAGAGAGACCGAAATGGAGGAGGAACGCAACAAAGGGTTTGAGGATTTTCGTCAGATAGCGAAGGGAAAGGAACTGCATCAACCACAATGGGATTATTTGACAGTGAAGAAGGTCTAATCGTTTAATAAAATTTGGTATCGATGATCGTTCAGTGAGGGTTATGCTTAATAGCTATGGTAGAATAGATTTGGAGGCTTAGATGTTAAGCAATGTAATGCAGTTGTGTAATGTGTTTGTTAACTATTATATGATAATAAACATTAGGACTATGTATCCTTGTATCTTCAGCGCCTATCATGTCCTAAACTACCTTAATGCGAACAATATCAAATATGTAAATAGGCAGTATATACACCATAAGTAAACGACATGCACAGGATATGTACATTATATGCACATGCTATGCAAAAACTAAAGATCGGGCAACGAGATGCTTTTTGCATTTATAAGCACTATATGACAAGTCATTGGTATAGTAGATACAATTAAAACATAATCCACAACGGTCACATATATAAGGTTACATTGATATATAGGCTTGAAACAGAAATTGAAACATACCAATATTCTAGCACGTCAAAAAGTAAAGTTTTTTCCAAAACTCATAGGCCCAACATGAAACACAAACCCTAATTTAACTTTTAAGTATTAATTCATCTTACAAATAACCCATTTATTCCAAAATCATTGATATAGAAACTTGGAACTAAATATCGTACCTTACTATACCTGCCGAAGCTTCAGTCGCCGGAAAAATGGAACTTTCCAACCATAGAGAAAATATGGTAAACGTCTTATCTTTAAGGATGGAAGAATAGAACACATGGCTCACAGATCTATGCTAAAACCCAAACACCGAAAACCCCGACCTTACTCTTCTCACCTCTCTCTCGACATCCCTATGTTCGAAATTAGAGCTATGAGCTCAACCCAAAATCCAGCTCACTCTTCTCACGTCACTCTCAACTTCCCTCTCTTCAAAATCAAAGCTCACACATCTAAGCTCAACCCAAAAGCCCACAGCTCACAGCTCTCTCTCTCAACATCCCCAACCCCCAAATCAAAAAAATGACACAATAAGTTGTGAGTTTTTACAATTTATATGTAGGTATTTTTGTTATTTTGTTATGTGCATAGTGTGCATGGAGTGTGCATGGCCGATTTGTCCTAATTTAGTCTTAAGATTAAGAAAATTGGCCTATTTATGTCAATTTCCCAAAATTTAATCCCTTATACAAGATTTTCCATGGCTCTCTATAATATTCAATAGGTAATGCTAGGAAGACCAAATTTTAAACAAAATTTTGTAAAACAAATGATGTGGATCTTAATGATTGGATATTACTTAAGTGTGGATTAACGTACTTATTTCCTATTGGTGACGCATCATTTGATTTGCAAATTTAATTTAAAAATTTGATCCTTTAGCATTATCCATATTAAATACTCCAGTTTTTTAATTGTCGGATCTTTGGTACACAAAAATCAAGATTTAATTTCACTCCAAAGCACCATAATTTTTTTGTCACTGCCACTACATAAAATGTCACTCATATGGCAACCCACCACCAAGTATCAACCCTCTCTCCCTTATAAGTTAAATGCCAAGCCAGGCACTAGAGTATTCACATAACCGCATCATACATTTTGGTTCAGGTCTTATGATTCCTAGATCATTCATTCTCTTTAGTAAGTTGGTACCATTTCATATGTCAAATCTAGCAACCTCACTAAATTTGTTTATAGACATTTATTCAACTATATTTTCAATCTAGTTTTAGTTCGAGCCCTGGACATCCAAAACACTTCATAAGAGCATGCCTACAGTACCGACCCTTAACCCCACGGACTTTCAAAGTGCTAAGACCTTTAACCTCAATTATTACAAATGAACTACTCAAGCACAACGGGCCTTCCAAAATCACACCTTTAGGTTTCGTTTTAAAGTTCACTCCAATGTATTGCGTCCAGTTATTTTCAAGTCCCCCTATCTAATTTTGTAGTGCATTCTTAAAAAATGAGATCATAACATTGCACAGTTTAGAATTTACAGCTAATTGATTCAGGCACAATTCTATATTCAGACTAAGGCCATATATTGTGATAGAGGGTTTTGCATCAAGCCACAACTGCCTAATGCCCAAAATTAATCAGCAATCAGAGCACAAAATAAAAACAGATTATAACATTGCACATTTGAATTCAACAACTTTAATAACAAAATAAAAACAGATTATAATATTGCACATTTGAATTCAACAACTTTAATCAAAGATGTAAAGTTTTTTTTTTTTTTTTGTGGGGGGTGGGGGGGGGGATTTATAACAAGGAGGAGATGTTATTTAGCAAGTAGAAAGCATTCCGAAGGTGTTCTCATACGAATCTACAAGATACTAGAAGAAACAGCAGAAAGGAAGAAGCAAGTCAAAGGACGTTTCACTTGAAGCAACACTCTGACACACAAAATTCTCACAAGTCTTAAAAAATAACTTAAATTATCAAACTGAAAATTGAAAATATGAAAAGATATGTACATCCTAAAAAATTTGATGTTTCTTGCTGCTGCTCACCATGAACCTGTTTCATGTGTTGTGTTCTACCCTACTGCTTAGTTCGATTTGTAAAAAAGTTAAGTGCCAACCTAGAAAACCGGGTGAGAGTGAAAAACATTTGCCATAGTGCACGACCCTTCACAATCCCCTCCCGTATGCCTCTTGCAGTTTTAGCTAAAACGGGCCCTGGCACCTCAGTTTTCTGACTTACTACCTGCACCGGTGCTAAGCAAGTAAAGATGAATTTTACATTCATTGCTCCAACACCCAATTGAAAACTCACGGTTAAACAACAACAAAATAACACTATAGAAAACATGGAAACCTGATGAAGCCATGTTTGTCAAGCCGCGCAACCTCTCCTCCGCCACACGAACAGCACGAGTGGAACTTCTAACGCCTTGTGTAATTTCATGGCTGCACCACAAACAAAACCGAATGAGTCAGCAGAGAATGTTATAATCCACAAGTAGACTTCATCATACGACAACGACATAAGAGCTTTGGAATAGCAATGCCAACCCAATATCACTGAGCTCCATAGTGAGGTCACTAATCTCCATCCCGGATAAGCGAACAGCAGCCATCGTGTCGGGAAGCTCTTCCCTCATAACATCCATCAGCTTTTCAAGTGATTGAGCTGCCCTTTTGAAAGCCTTCAGAAACAACCACATTGCAAAATCACTTTACTAACAACGATCGCACAACAAAACATACCCAATTTTCCAATTTGCTAGTACTAATTAAAACCATCGAGTATTCAAAGATTACGAACCAGGAGGGTGGGGATTGCAGAGAAGAAGAGACATGTCGCCGAAACTGCTACCTATTAAAAACCCAAAAATTCAAATGTGATTCAATAAGAAAACCCATCAATTACTGCAAATTCAAGAACAAATCATTACAGAGAAATTTAGGTTTGGCGTATGCAGATTAACCTGAATTCGAAGCGGAATTACGCTTCCTAAAGCATAAATATATTAACTTAGAGAGAGAGTTACCGCGCAAGCAACGACATTGAGGACGACGAGGTGGCGGTGGGTGAGGTTCCACTGAGGGGGCTGAAGAAGTGAAGTCTGAGAAAGTGATGGAGATCCGACAGTTTCAGTGTAAAGAGATGAAACTGGCCGCCCAGATGCTTCTTTAACATACTGCGACTGGACGGACACTGAGCTGAGCCGTCGAGGCGGTAGCCTGAGATGGTGGGGCAGGCGGCGAGGGTTTATGTTGACCGCAAAGCTGTGGTTGGCGTTCTGGTTAATCCTAGGGTTCCACGCCAACTGTAATTTCACACCCACCAACATTGCTGTTGCCTCTCGCTCTCTCGCTCTCCCCTCGGTGACTCGGCCCTCGAAATCTCCACCGGCACAACAGGCTTCCCTCAGCAACGCAAAAGCTTGTTTGTATGTAATTTCTGGTTACGAAGAAGGGGCTTTTTGTCATTTCGTCAATGAGAGTTTCCTCTTGGGCTGTCTGTTTGTATGCAATTTTTGGATTGACTTTGGGCCTTAACGAACCGATTCTTCGGTCCAGATCGGCATTCTTGCCGAACTCAGTCACCGTCGACTTCGGTCAAAGGTAAAATGTTGGATTAAATGTTAGATTATCCACTGACAGGGTTCAAACTCATGCCGTCATGTAAAGACTCAACTCTTTTCCACCAATGTGCTAAAGGGCGACTTACCATCCACATACCTAGTTTTACTTCTCACACACTCTTCTCAATTTTCTGTTGTCTGTTCAAATAAATTGAAGAAGATCAATAGGCAAAAATAACAAAGGTGTGTGAGAAGTAAAAAATAATGTGTGAATAGCACTATCCTCTTTTTTTTTTTTTTTAGGAAAAAGTACGATATTCATTGATAAGGAATTCGAATACATATAAACGTAGAGGATAGAGTGCAACTAACAGGGCCTCGATAAAAACCTTGTCAGAGATGTCAACCCAGTCAAAGAAAAAAAGAGCAGTTCCGCACTTATGTTTACATAACTATACTATCCTTGATTAAAAGATCAACAATTACATTCGAGGGATCTTCAAACCACACCATTTGTTGTTCGATAGACAAGCCCACTCGTGCTAACCTGTCTTCTACTCTATTAGCTTCACGTCATGTGAAATTAATCAAAACATGTGGGAAAGACCTAAGAAAAGAATGGGCGTCATTCACCACATGCCCCAAAGTCGATGTATCACTTCCAATCCCCACATGTAAGGCAGCAGTGACTGGTGGCGAAGCTAGGAATAATCAAGGGGAGGGGCAGAATTTAAAATAGAAAAATGTAGACGACCAAATCATTGTAGATAGTAGATAATATTAATGTAGTTAATAATCAAGGTTCTAACAAACGTTAAACGCTAATCGGAAAGCGAATTGGAGCATAGTGCCTAGACGGAGGTTTAATTGAATTTAAGTAAATTCATTATATACCATATAAGCAAGTGTCTTACACCTTGAAAGGACTATACTTGTATTAGAGATTCAAATTTATTTTCTCCTGTTTATTATTTAACATATAAAATACAAGAATATTAGAAATTTCGCTTTACTATTTTAATGAATATGATAGTATGAGATGAAAGGTATTACTAGAATAGATTATACATTTCTAACATATGTGTGATACTTTCTAATTTTTATAAGACTCGAACCATAGATTACTTAATAAAAAATAATACTCTGAAATCTTTTGATAATATTGACAAAAATTAAAAATGAAGAAAAAAATCAAAAGTGGCTTCCAACTATAGTTCCATTGGTAGCCACAACAAATCAAAACTATGAGTTCAAGTTAAATAGGAAGCCACCTTCTTCTTCCTCGCGACTCATTTGAACTGCCGCTTTTGCAACAGTTGCGGCTCTAGCTCGCATCGGAAAGGCCGATATTTCGATCGAATCTTTTATATTCGCTGATAATACCTGGGGTTTTCAGAAGGCAATGCACGCAGCGGAGGCTGCACAGCAGCAGAGCAACCAGGGGCGTTTGCTTTCCGACCGACCAAAAGGGCGACTACTCATTCATGGGCTTCTTTTTCGGCGAGAGGTGCAGCAGCAGAACCAGAACCGGAGAGTAGCAGCAGCAAAACTAGTCTAATTTTCAAGCGAAGGAAGGGGCTGCACCAGCGCTTCAGTATTTTTTCAACAAGGGGAGGAAGACTGCACTCCTCGCCTTCACGTGGCTTCACCACTGGTGGTGACCATCTATGCATCACCTTTATACACCATTTTGTTGACCTGCAGCACCACGTGCAGGGGAGAAGAAATCCCCTCATTCCTTGCTACCATAGCTGCTATAAAGGTTCCCTAGTGTAGGATTTATCTTATGGGATAAATAAATATCAAAGGATATTCCACCCAAATAAGGATATTAACCTCCTAATTATCTATGTGATAATTAGATAAAAATCAACAGATATTTATATTAGAGTATACCTGGGATTTTCATGGGTTTTTCAGTCTTTGTACACTCTTCCCAACCACTATATAAGGAGGCTTTGGGGAAGAGAGAAAGAATAAGAAACACAAGCTTTTCCACAGTTCAAATATTCTAGTTAGTCTTCAAAGCTATCACTTTCGGCTCTAGTTCTTGGGAGGCGAAAACCAAGGGGAAACTCGATATACCATAGCCAACCCAATGACCTGCAAGGTTGTAGACGTGCATGAAAGGTCAAAGTAATTGTTCATGTTTGTAGAGCATGTTGAGATTCAAGCTTCCGCATAAAAAGGTACACATGTCCTTTCGAATTTATTTATAGTCTTCCAACAGTGGTATCAGAGCCACTCACACACTTCTCGCATGAAAGCATGAGATATATATGCCATGTGTGTGTGTGTGTGTGTGTGTGTGTGTATGGCATGTATGAAAACCTTGAAAGTATGAGATATATATATATATATATATATATATATATATATATATATATATGAATATGCCATGAATGCTTGTCTTTAAAATTTTCGTTTTTGCCATACTTATTTTTTTTTTCTGGGTTTGAATGCTTGGGTTATGTTCTTTACATTCATATGAGACCATGTTTAAAATTTGGCAAAGAAAAATCGAGTGGTTAGAGAGATAATTGAAACCCTAGTTTCGTAATAGCATGAAAAACTCTTCGCATGCGATATGGTTATGTGTACTTGATCGATCATCGCTATGAAGCCTTAGTGTTTCAAATGCTTCGTAGCTAAGGTTGAGAATCAAAAAGGGAAGACTGTAAAAGCTCTTTGCACTAATCGTAGACACGAGTAATTGTCTGACCAATTCAAGGTTTTTTGTGAAAGTAAGGGGATACACGAACAACTTTTTGTTCCTTACACGCCACAACAAAATGGTGTTGCTGAAGGAGAAACAGAACTTTATTAGCCATGGTCAAATCTATGATGGTGCAGGTAAATCTCCTCATATCTTTTTGGGGTGATGCATTATATACTTCATCATCTGTCTTCAAAGACGGTTCCCTTAACCCCATACGAACTTTTGAATGATGTAAAACCCAATCTGGGTAATTTGCATCCTTGGGGTTGTGCTTGATTTGTTCATAATCAATCACATAAGTTTGGAAAGTTGGGTCCTAGAGTAAATAAACATATCTTTATAAGATATTGTGAAAACTCGAAAGGTTATGTGATGTATGGTGAACATCCAGATGAAGAGAGAACCGAGATTGATTCACATGATGTGGAATTTATAGAGAATGACTTCCCAAAACTTGACGATACTGTCAAAAACCTTGATCTCCATGAGTTGGAGAAAGATGAAGAACTCGTAACATCTTCAAGCGAATGAGGGGAATTAATTTCCAATCTGATGGTTGCTGAATATGATGTAAAATGACTTAATCTGAGTGGGAGTACACAACCCAGTAGAAGTAATGTATCCATAAACACTTAAGAGAATACGCCCAATGATGGAAGTGTACCTTTTGAAATTCAAGGTCACACAGTTCGAAGAAGCAAGAGAGGCCACATTCTCAAACGTCATTTTGAGGTTGATGAGGAGGCCTACATTTGCATACCTTTAAAGGATGACGAACCTTCTTCTTACAAAGAAGTGTTGTCTTCAACGGCCAAAGAAAAGTGGATAACTGCAATGGAGGAAGAGATGAGCTCCATGGACAAAAATACTGTTTGGGAGTTAGTTGACCTTCTGCTTGGGCGTAAAACCATTGGAAACAAGTGGGTTTTAAAAATCAAACGTAAGGCGGATGGTTCAATTGACAAATATAAGGTACACCTTATGGCGAAAGGATACACTCAGCAATTAGGTGTGAAGAGACGTTCTCCTGTGTGTTGAGGTTTGCCTCTATTCGCCTCATTTTAGCTATTGTTGCTCAACTAGATTTGGAACTTTACCAAATGGATGTTAAGACAGCATTTCTCAATAAAGAACTAGACGATGAGATATACATGGATCAACCTTTAGGCTTCGAGGCCAAGGGACAAGAGCGCAAAGTTTGTTGCCTAAAACGTTCCATATATGGCCTCAAGCAAGCGTTTAGACAGTTGAACATTAGATTCCATAATTCAATCACTTCATTTGGTTTTGAGATGATTGAGGAAGACCACTGTGTGTATCTTAAGAAATATAGGAAAAGTATTCTCATACTTTCTCTGTATGTTGACGACATCCTAATAGAGGGAAATGACAAAACCTCCATAGAAACCACGAAAGCGTGGTTGTCATCCCATTTTGAGATGACAGATATAGGTCAAGCACATTATGTGCTTGGAGTTATGATCACAAGAGAACACTCAAGGAAACTTCTAAGTTTGTCTCAAGAAACTTACATTAAAAAGGTTCTTCAACGATTTAAGATGGAGAATTCCAAACCTATAGACACTCATATGGAAAGAAACGCGATATTGTCCTTAGAACAATGTCCAAAGACTAAGAAAAAGAAAGAACAAATGGAAAACGACCCATATGCCTCTGTAGTAGGAAGTCTGATGTACGCGATGCTTTGTACGCATCCGGACATTTGCTAGGTCGTGGACTTGGTAAGCCCCAATCAAAGTAATCCTGGACAAGCTCATTGGCAAGCTGTCAAAAGGATTATGAGATACCTGCAAGGAACAAAAGATTTAGCTCTATGTTACCAAGGAGGGATCTAAAGTTGAGAGGATATAGTGATGCAGACTGGCAAGCGATAGAGATGAACGTAAGTCCACCTTAGGTTATGCTTTTGTCCTTAAAGGTGGAATTGTTTCTTGGTGTAGCAAGAAGCAAACTTGTATTGCTCTATCTACAATGGAGTCAGAATATGTTGCCCTTGGATCAGCTGTTCAAGAAGATGTTTGGCTTAGGAGGTTTTTATGAC